GCCATTAGCAAACAAAGGCATTAACGATCAGCAAAAGTGTGTAAGACCAAAAATGAAACTTTTAAATATGTCACATACAAGATTCTCAGTACAGTCTACAAGGTTGTACAATTGTAAAGTAACTTGTGAGAATGAGAATCCTGAAGTCTGCCTTGGGTTAAATAAGTCTTAAAATTGCATTTTGTTTTGGGTGTTTTTTCCCCAAGTGTTTTAGAAATGAAAGAATCTTGGTAAAGTGATTCTCACACACTGCACAAACACACAGAGTGTTTCTCCCACTGTGAGAGCAGTATAAAAGTACTCTTAACTATATGTTAGAGTGACCAAGGTCACAGGAGAATCTGTACTTTTCCACTGATTAAAAGGAACGGGCCAGGTGCTTTGTGCCTCCTATGCAGCCAGAGTGTGCAGTTGCCTGGTAACTTGTTCTGAGCTGTTGCATTTTAATCACATATACATGTAGGAATACCAAGCTGACCGCTTAGGTTTATCAGCCAAAACAGTTTACAGCAACACAATAGTTTATAGCAATTCAGGAAGTTTAACATTGAATTTAGTGGAATTCAGGTACGTGCTTATATGGTTTGATGAACAGAACTTTTATAAATGAAAAGGAAACAATAGAAGTTATTTATATGTGACTTCAGAGCATACAAAAGGTATAGTCTACGAACCAAATACCAATTATTGCAGTATTTACCTGTTCAAAGGGCATCATGTAATGTCTCAGACTCAACAAGCAGAAACTGACAGGCTGTTATGATTTGAAAATTCTACAAAAGTTCCAATAGTGTACCCAAAACAGAAGCATTTCAGTGTTTGGGCTAGACTCATTGTCTTCAGTAAATACGTATCTTAATTCTAACACAGGATAAAAACTGATTTATAAATTTCCTCTTGTAAAAATGAAACTGTTCCAATTATACTGTTCGCTCATATTTAAGCTATTAAATAGTGCAAATAAGAAGTGACTTTAATGAATCCCTCCCACTCAGCTGTAAACCATGACCATATACAGTCCTTGAAGACTACACAAGACCCTGCTTCATTCCAGCCATATCATTAGCATAAGCTGCACAAACCCATTTAAATCAACAGGTTTTTCAGGCATAAAAGCAGAATCCAACAGCAGTTAAACCACGTCTTACAATTGACAAGGTAATACCTCCATCACTGATGATAGCACCATAACAAAAAGGAATGGGTCTTTATTGTCCTTAATGAACTTGAGGGGCTGCAAGAAACCAGTTAAGTCACAAGCATGGATTCTGTAACATCACTATCAGCATAATTTCCAGATCAAAGATCCAGCCTCCTGTTAAGATGATCAAATACAATTTTGATTTCAGATGACAAGTCATCACAACACTACATTAGGTAGAGTATAAAATCTTATCATCAGATTCTCAGCTATTTTAAGTCAATGTATTCTGCTGAAGTCAATGAAACCAAACACCCTACCACATGAAAGAAATCTTTCAGTGTGCCTCAGACCTGGAAAAATATCTTGAAAAATATCCATAACTTTTAACACAAATTCTCTGCATTTCCCATGATCTCTCGACATCGAGCAGTAGTAAGACCCTAACATTTACTTTCAATATATTTCTTGCGTAACATTAATTTTTATTTTAATTTAAAAAGGGGCAACTAATAAATAAGAATTTCATAGCTACTCACAAAAATCAATAAGCAAATACATTTCTTCCAAGATTTAAATACTTCTATAATTTAAAGACTATGAAAGCTCTATAAAATAAAATAGATAATTTACCTACTAATGTAGAAAACTACAGACGAACTTCAGGAAAGGGCCAGAGGTGCAGAGGATAGGCTAATAGGCTAAGGTAGAAAAATAAAAAAAAAACAACCAGGAGTTCTATGGAAAAAGTGAGTGAGCAGCTCACAGCATTGGCAGACAACATACTTTTTACCCCCCACTTCCTCCACCCATTCTTCTTCTTTCTCCCCACTCCCACCCCTTTTTTTTAATTTGTAAAGGAAATAATTGTCAGGGATGTAGTGGAGGCCAAAAGTCTAAAGGAGTTCAAGAGAGGATTAGCTGAATTCTAAGGCATGTGCCAACACAACTGCTATAGAAAGGATCTGCATCATGGTGAAATGCAAACAGCTTTTGATAATGACACATACCATTCACTAAATTTGTCTTTTACCCTGTTGTATAGTTCCTAACGTTCAAAAGAGTCACTGCCACACAAGAAACTAAACTTAAAGCACTTTGAGAGAACCATGGCTCATCAGCTCATGGCTGTGAAGTCTTACAACTTAAATGTTTCAGTTGTACACCAAAAAGTTCTGAGGTGGACTGCTGTCTGTATTCAATAGTCACAGCTGATGTAGGAGCATATGATAAACTTTACTTATTTGCCTTTAACCAATGCTCCAAATATTTTAAAGTAGGTTACTGGTTTGATTACCCTTCATACAGAATCCTCCTTCAAATGTAGGTTTCTCTTCAGATTTAAGGCATGAGCAGAAATCAAACCTGCATAATCACTGAAATCAGTGCATATTTTTCAATACTTCAGCAGCATCAGAATTTGTCCTCAAGTATCATTCATAAAGCAAATGCTACATTCTTTAAAACTTTTTTTAGCAAATGTTAGTAATGCTGCACCACAGACTCTCATGCCCAGTCACACATGTTCTTCCTGAGACTGTTATGCAACTCAGTATTTTAAAAATCACCATCCTAACTGTGTACTTGATACTGGTTCTCCCCTTTTCAAAGTCTGATGATAAGGAAAAGCTGCAAGTACTACAAAACCAGGCAGACTTGCTTGTTCTTGCCAAAGAGAAAAAGGTTAAGCATTATTAAAAAATAAGACTATTGCCTATCTTTAAGTATCCATAAAGCTATGAACATGAACTGTATGGTGGCTTGTTAGCATCAATATTTGAACACGGGCATGCAAAATGTCCTTCAGTTAAATTCCAAACTCTATGAATTAATTCCCCAAGGACAACACATCTATTAAAAGCCAACAGTAAGCCAGAAATCTCTTTCCATTTCATACGGTAAAAAAAATACAGTGAATCCTGAAAAAAGAAATAGATATCAGACAGAGAAAGCCTATATAGTTATAGGGCATGTAATGAAACATTCAGTGTTTTGATTTCTTTTTTTTATTTATTTCATCAGAATAGTTAGACAAACATGGAAACATTTGCAACAGCAATACTCAGGTCGCTTTAAAATCTTGGTAACACTGAAATACAGGTCATCAAAAACTAATGATGTGGGGAGGGCACTTTAGGTCTTATTACTTTAACACACACCCATATCTATATACACACACACTCCACACACAACTCTAAAGAGCTATCTTAACTATGTCTGCAAGTAAACTCAAATAGTAGGCAAAAAGGAATCATATCCATACTAAGACAGTTAGCCATATCATAAAACTAAAGATCACTACAACCAGTACTATCTTAAAGAAGGAAAAAAAACACTCAAAAACCTGAAAGGAACCATCACTGTGCATGTCACAAGCATGAAGTTATTTTAACCTGATGACTACCCTGCTCTAAACTTTAAGCATCATTAAGTGTTATGTATTTTTAAAGTCTAAGGTTATTATTATAAATGACCTACTTGTAGCGGCAGCCTAAGTAGCATTCTGGAGAACACCACAGCATCCACAATTTCTACAGGACAGTGCAGTATGATTAAGCACTGGATTTCTAGGGGAAGAAAAACAAAAACCACCACCACTCATTTATTCAATTGAAAAGCTTATTACCCGCACTTTCAAAGCAACAGGCTACATGAATACTGAATGCAAAGTAAACCAGACCCATCTGGAATACTTTGACTTCTCAGCTCCAAGTTACAAATCTTTCCTCTTGTATTTTAATGAATTAACAGCATTTGGATGCACAGAAACTGTCTCTACAGTGATGTCTGCAGACCTCTGAGTCGTGAGTTAAAATGCCTTCCTAAAACGTAAGAGTCTCAGCACTTCTTCTGAAAGGAGTGAAAAACCCACAACCAGGGAAAGAGGAAGTGAAGCAATACCAAGGGTTTTTTCCCAGAGGTAACAAAATCCTGAGAGAACAAGATGTTTGTGCTGTCAGAATAAAAATCCCAAAAGAAACAAAATAGTTTACCTTTCCCTTTGAAAAGTTGCTTTTGAGTCAAGACCTGTTCTTTTTCTCTCCCAAGCATGAAATCTCTCTTCAGCTTAAGACTGTTTTCAAAATACTGAACACAGTAGAAATTTAGTGCACACACTGGAACCTGTATAGAAACTTATTAAAAAAACCCCAACACAGTAGTACTACACTGGCTAGAAATCTTTTAAATATTCTGATGAAAAGACTCAAACTGTTTCTAGGAAATAAAGTGTTTGGGGCCAAAGCTGACAGATGTTCATGTAAGTTTAAAAAAAAAAAATCTTTTTTTTTTTTAATTGACGTATTGAAAAAAGCTGGAGAAGGAAACGGGGACAGAAATGAAAACCCATTCAGGGACTCAATAGTATAGATTGTCACCATGCAATCTAAACATTGTAATTGCAGATCATATATTCAGAACAAGTGAGCCAAAAGTAGTACGCTCCCTGGGAGAGGGGAGGGAGTCTCTTTCTCCTTTAATAGGCTAAAGCAAGAAGTTCTCACTGTATTTCAAGCCAAGACCCAGCTAGCAGAAGGTAGCTTTTCTGTCAGATAAAGCAAGGCAAAAGGATCAAGTACAGCAACTTCCTTGTAGTCTTTTGCTCCTGAGCACCTTTCTTCAACTCTTCTTTCTTCTTCTGGTGATAAGAAGGCAAAGCATGTTCTGCTCCTGTGAGCCCATGCTGCTTGTCCCTATAGTAACAGCAGGCACCTGTGATTCCTCTCCAAAGACATTTACACATGGAAATCAGTTGAATGGTGTGTTATGGAAGCATAAGCTGCAGTGGACATGATTTAGAATCAGTTATTTTTTTGTCCATCATGGCAAAATAAAACCAGCAATTTATTACTTTATAGAAATTCTCCTAAAGTAGTAGTTGCCCCCAAGCACTGTCAAATTTTTGTATCACAGGAGAACAAATGCAGCCAAAAGAACGTTTCCTCTAAAATGACTACTCCGAACTACACAAGCAGGCAGGCACAGGCAGCTCGCAATTTAATTAAGTATACATACACAGCACCACTTAGTGGTGCAAGCAGTCTCACCACCGATAGGAATGAGAAGTTTCAACACCAACCTTCCCACCCCCTCACCCGGTCATGAACTAGGTCTGGTCTGTCTGTCCTCACTTGCCAAATACCACTACAGTGCCTTTACTGTAACAAAGTACATCTGCCAAGCAAAAGAAGTCCAAGAGAGCTGAACCTCAAGGCCAGCAGAACCAAAGGCTGCTGAGCATCAAATAGATGCATCCACTTTGAAGAGCTTTCAGAATTCTACAGCACTCTACCACATGGTTTACGGTGACACAGCCTGAAGCAGTGTTTAAACAAACCATCCAGCTTAGTATCTGCCTGTACTGCAAAGAATAGCAATCTCTTGGCTCACAACTTGGGTTTTATATAGACCTGGGCCATAAACAAATGCAACAGATGTAGAAAAACTGAAGACTGACAGCAACTGGAATGTAACTATTATTTTTCCACTCCATCAACCAGTTATAAAACTAACTCATGCACTTACATAACAGAACACAGTAACTAACAAAAAGAAAGCCTTTTATTCTGAAGAAATTAGTGCGTCTTTACAAGAAAATCATGATTTCAACTTATAAAATCAGCATTATCATTAGCAATGCACCCTTCCTGAAGGCGAAATCCTTCTCTTTTATCAAATGTCAACTGCAAGAGTGTGTAAACAAAACAAACGACCCACACCAAAACCCACCCACACCCATACCCCAAAAGCTCTATTTAGATTACATATGTATATATAACATGTCTTCACAGATGACAACTGCATCAATTTATACTTCAGGTCCTTCTCCTCCAGGAACCAGCTATAAAAGAAGACGACAATTTTGTGTTAGTGCCATAGATTTGAGTTTTACAAACCCACATGTGACAGTTCTTGGTTTACATTTTAGCAGATGGAGACTTAATTTGTAGACCACAAAAGTGTTTTTTAGATTCAATATTATCTTCCTCTCCCAAGAGAGGAAGTCAGTTACTGCCACAGAAGCACATGCCAGAAAGAATCTCCAAAATACAAATAATCTTTAACAAAACACAAAGGAGTTCCTAGGTAACACACATTTTGGTTTTTGTCTTTGGTATTCACTTCAAGGAGATGATTCTGTCTAGAAACACTAGAGCTCATTTTTAAAAGGACAAAGAACATCCTTTCGTGAAGAATTTCTTCAATTGCTGATTCCTCCCCAGACTGCCACTATACTGGGAAGTTGGTTCCTCTTTCCAATTTCTATTGCTAAGCAGAGCCCAAAAGCTAATAAAGAGCCTCAACCCTTCTACAGGCAGCAGGGAGTAATTTTCCTGAGAAGAAAGTAAAGAACTGAACAACAGAAAAGAAATACAGAAGGAAAAACATGAATAAAGGAAAAAAGAAAAGGATAACCATTGCTTTTACTGAGATATTCTTAATAATTAGCTGAGCACTTCTAAAGACAAAAGAGCTTCACTGCTTTCGGGACCGAAGCAAGAAAAAGTCTAAAGCATATAATCTTCCTGACGTGCAAAGATGTGTCCACAAGAGAGACACAAGGTCTAATACAGAAACTTATCTACATCTCCCTGAAAATTTGCACTCTAAGAATCACCAGCTTCTGCTTCAAGGACAGTATACCACCAGCTTAACTGGATGGTAGTAAATTTACCCCATACAAGAAGAACATGCACTATCCTTTAAGGAGGCAGAACAATAACAAAAGCAGAAAAAGGCTTAGAATTGAAGTCAAGATGGCACTTGCTCAGACACACAGTGAGGAGGTGCAAGGTAGGTAAGACAGCAAAATGGAGATTATTCCTCATTCACAAAGAGCTGACTTTGACTCAAGTCAGTCTTCCTCTCCTCTTCCCACAAAATTAGGAATGCCCTTATGTAGGAAGTCCAGACTTTGTAGCCATCTATGTGGACAAGCAAAAAACTGCTCTGGGTACGCTTTTGTGGTATTTAGGAAGTTGCAAAATTCAGCCTAGGGATGCATAATCACAGTATTTAATTACTGTTTCAGTACTGATCTACATACCTCAGCAGATGATAAACTAAAAATCATAGTGCTTCTGATTTGGTATAATCCAACAGACCTTGGGATTTTTTCAGAGAACATAAAGGTACAGCTCTCTGGGCATCACATGGTATCATAACTGCCAAACAACTTGACAAGCTTGTAAGCATCCAAACTGCTGCAAACACATTTATACGTACAATAATGGATAAAGTGTAGATGCATTCCATCTACACACTTATGCAGGCAAGCACTCATGAGTTAAAAGCCACTGTATGAACCAGCCTACAGAGTGCTTAAAGCCAGTGACTCCCTTGCACACCTGAAGACCAAAAAACATTCACCAAAATAAAATTAGGGCCATGCCTTTTTTTTTTTTTTTTTAAACTGTAACATATACCAACTAAGACATTAAGATCACTTTTCCAGCATCATTCATACACATATATGCCCCAGAAGCTACTTGAAAGCACCTTATATAATTGAACTCTCTGGAAATATCAGCTTAAAGTAGTTGAACTCAATTACTGATCAATTTACAGGTACAGAAAATAAAGGCATGCAGCATTTTAACAACAATGACTTACCATTGTTATATTGTTTCCATTTAGCAAAATCTGGTCTAGCTTTGTGATTCTTCTGCCCTCAGGGGTAATCTCACTGAAGCAGCATTAGAAAAAGTCAGAAAGAACACATAACCAGGGACAACAATTCCAGTTTTGACTACAAAGCTGACATAAATCTCTACATTAAGATGACAGTTGTTGGAACTAACAAATAAATTAGCCACACTGCAGTGTAATCTTGATAAATTGACCACCTGGGTAAAGAAAGCTACCTGGCAACTAAAAAGTTCCATTGTACTCTTCTGCTCAGTACACATAAAGATACAGATTCACCCTCTAAATCTTGGCAATTTCTTAAATACCACCAATACTCAAAATAGGTTTCAAATAGCAACATGGCATGGCAAAGTAATAAATACTTATCCTTAAGTCTGCTAACTTTCTACTTTCTAAATCTTTGCCTAGACCTTAAGGAAATATAAAAGCAAACAAACTACTGGAAAGTTCAACACACAATCCATGCAAAGTTAAGGCTACAAAGTAGGAACCTGTTTACAAGCATAAATCATGCAGCAGCTACTCTGTGACATGGCTGTCCTGAATAGATCACCCTCTATAGTTAAAAGTCCAAGGTACAAACCATTCAGCTGGCAAGTATTCAAAAAATATAAAAACACTTTGCTTATAGATCTTACAAAATATTTTTCCTCAGGAAACCAAACATTAAATAGCAACAAGAGGCAGAAATAATACTTACAATTCTGTAACGTCTTCTAACACCATATCTGAAAATCCAGTTTCAAGGAAAATAAGGCCCCGAATTTTTAAATAAAAATATTTAAAGTTATTTCCATTTTACACTGAGCTGTGATTTTACCTGTAAAATAAAAAAAATCGGAATAATACAATGGATCCATACAAAAAGGTTCCATCCAGTGAACTCAAACCTCTCAAAAGCAATAACATAATTGAACTGGAGCATAAACTGGATGGCCTTAAACACTTCCATCAAAGGATACTGACAAAGTCATCAAATCCTAGAAGTGTTCCAACAATTTCTTTATCACTCTTCATCACAATATGAATGCGTGAACCTATACATTTGTCCACAAGTTCTGTAAATAAAAACAAAAATAAACGGAAAGACACAAGAGATTGTTTTATAGAACATTTTTCGAACACAAACCTTAACATTGTGGCAGCAAAAAAAGTAAATGCCACGGGCACAGGTAAAAAACACAAAAAGAAGGGGGAAAAAAAAAAAGAGGAAAAAATATTTAAAAAAAAAGTTTCTTCGCAGGCTTTACTGCTGCTAGTACCTCAACAAGTTTCTGCGGCCGCAGGAACACGCTCCCTTCACCGAGAACACCTCGGCGTCGACAGTGCGCAGCACATCACCGCGGCTCTGCCGAGCACCAACGCTCGTCCCCAGCCAGCCTTTGCTCCGCACCCAAACCTCGGCCCGGAGCCACCCCCCCGCTCGCTGCCCGTGCCGGAGACCGGGACGCCCCGGCGCCTCTCGCCACCGCGGGCAGGGACGGGGCCGCTGACCGGTCCGGCCGCGGCTCCCGAGCGGCGGGAGGCCCCGCGGCCTCACGCAGACGCCTGACTGACGAGCCGGGAGGGCCGCCCCGCGCCGCCCACACCCCCGGCCCCTCAGCCCCGGGCCGGCGAGAATTTTTCCCTCACCGGCCAAGAACGCCGGACGCTGCGGCCAGACCCGCGCACTTCACCCCGCCTGCGAAGGCGAAGGGCTTCGCCTCCCGCCGCCGAGCCGAAGCGGGAGCGCGGCCCGGCCTCTCCACGCCGGCCTTCCCCCGCCCCCATCCAGCCGCCACCGCCCTCCCTCGCCTCACGCCGCCTCCACACAGCACTGCACCCCCGGGCTGGCCGAGGAAACCCTCGCCTGACGGGAACCGCCGGGCGTCTTCCAACCCCGCCCACCCCACTCCAGCTTCCCGCCAAGCAGCGGGCAGCGGCGCTCGCGTCACCCAGAGGTACCCGCAAACGGACTCTCTTTTCCTTCCTTCCTTCCTTCCCTTCCGCCCGCCGCCCACAAGACGGAATCCTCCCCCCGAACACCAAGAGAGCGCGGAAGGGCCGCGGCAGGGCCGGTTACCGAGCGGCAGGAGCTGAGAGGGGTTGGTGGTCGCGTTAGCCGCCATGTTGGACCCAGACCTGACCAATCGCTGCTGCCACCGCCTCCCGCGAGGGCCAGCCCCGACGAGCGGATGGCAGAGTTGCCGCTCCCCCACTCTGGTGCCTCCTCCCGGTCCCTCCCCCGCCCCCGACCGTTTTCCTATAAAAGCCGGGAACGAGCGGGAGTCATGATATTTCGTGAGGTGGGTGTTGAACGTGCGGCTCGCGTTCCTGTCAGTCGCGCGTGTTGAACGCATCCCGGTAGAGTTTTAAAGGAAACCCCCTTTATTTCCCCTCCATTCTCCTCCAGCCGTCCGGCGCCGCCTTGGGCTGCGGCCGGTGCAACCGGTACCCGAACAGCCCGGCGGCCTCAGGGTGTCAATCTCCCCCTTCAAATAAGTCTTCTTTCCCTCGGGTGCGTCAGGTGGAAGGATTTTATGCACTGTACATCATAGCTGTTTTATGTGCTGATAGTTATGTTTTCCCCCAGATTTGCTTATCAATTCACAAGATGGCTGTTGTAAGAAGGATTTTTGAAGCCCTTTTGCCTGTGCACAATGGGCTTGGAGCCAAAAAACCACTGGCCATTCAAACAGGCTTTGCTTGCTTAATGCTACAGCATTAATTAAACCAGTGTTTCAACTTCCAGAGCCATTGCACGTTTTGTGACAGGGCAGATGCCAGAAGAATTGAGCCTGAATAAACTCCGTCCTTCGCCTAGGAAGGTGGCGCTGCCTCCAGAAGCACATGTGCCTTTTGAAGGATGAACAGCTGCTGGCATCATCTGATGCTCAGCTGCTGGCTCAGTTCTTAAATGTGGTTAGTTCCCAGGTAACACTGAATGCTTGGACTTTCTGTTCTTGAAGTTAAATGCAACCTTTGAAATGGGTGAGTGCTGCTGCCCCACTGGGCTCCAGGCAGGAGCACTTTGCCATGACCAGAGCAGAGAGATAGACTGCTGGACTTGACTCACTGCAAGGCTGCAGGGCTGGCGTGTCTCCTTGAGCAGAGGGTGTTTGAAGTGCCAGCTGGGGTAGTTACAATGACTGTGTGAGGCAGCACAGGCAGGATGCAGGAACAACCACAAAACCACGGATTAAATGCAAACAGTAAATTTATTTTTGTTACCTCACCAACCGGGGGATCCCTGAAGCAGCACCCAGGCACAGGCACATGAGCAGGGACACAGGGACTGCTGAGCTCAGCCCATGCTAGGGGATTGCTGACCCTGTTGTTTTCACCAGTTTATCAGGGATTTGTGCAGGCACAATATACCACTGTGCTTTGATCCTTCCCACAGCAGGACAGGAATCTCAAGCGTGTTCGATAGGGTGCCTCTTAAGTCTGTCACAGGCCTGTGTTACCTAAACACAGATGTTCTACTTGTCAAGCATGCAAGGATAAACAGCAATTAGTATAATATATGTATACTTCTGCACGCCAGCTGCAGGTCACTTGGGCATGTTTATAATCTTCCTCGCCAATCGTCCGTTATTATCCCACGTTCCACCCCCTCACTCAAGGGAGCACTTCTGCTGGGGCTGGCAAAGCTGGAGGTGTCCCTTTGGGCTTGCAGGGTGCAGGGCAGGGTAATGTGTAGAGGCATGTAATGAACACATATAGAAAAAGGAATAAACTTATCCCTACAATAGTGCTTTGAATCAAGTGTCCCACCCATCCTGTCAGGGAATTACACAGCTCAGCCAGCCAGACACCACCAGTAGATTGTTTCATTTGATGTGTTAAAATCTTGGAAACATTGAATGTCATCCTCTAGGCTGGCTGATTAATCAGTTACATTGAAGCAACACATGCCTTCAAGATGGGACAGTGTTTATGGTGTAGAAGGAGAGAGTCCACCGCCAGCTGATTTGGTAATGTTCCCGGGAATACAGCCATTACCTACTCGGAAAAAATAGCAATGAGGAACATTAATATCAAAAGCACTTAACATAGTATAATTCTGTAATACAGCTACTGGAGTTTGCAAGCCAATAAAACGTTGTCAAAAGATCTGCAGCTGATAATCGATACAATAGAGAAGGCAGATGAGTTAGTTACAGTAGAGGCCAACCAAATCCAAGTATTTACATATTGATCTTGTGGAAACGCATCCAGGGCATGTGCTTGTAGTACCAGACTACAAACCATGATGAGCCAGCCTGTGATAAGGGAGGAAAACAGGAGTGTCATCTCTTTCCAGTAATACATAAATAATGCTGTTGCTCCAGCTTCTTCAGCTACTATTACTCTGGGTTTGATAACTTGACGTGGGGTAATTGCCCACACAGATTGAAGAACTATGGCTTGTGCTTTTTCAGATTGCACTTCAATTCAATGTTGGATTTGCAACACCAATAACACTGTTCCAATGCTATGTATCTTCTCTAGATAAGGCACAGGTATTCATCGAAGATACTTGAAATACAAGAGCTCAAGACAAACCAGACAATTGTTTCATCCCTCCAGCTGGACACCACCAGAGCCTCTTGGACTCCCCTGGAGTGTCACCCAGGTTATTGGGGCCTGGAGGGGGCATTTTGTCATTCTGAGGATGACAAAACCAGTGGGGGGTGGCTGTCCTCAGCTACCAAATGGGTGAGTGAAGATGAAGCCAGACCCAAGCTGGCAGTGCACAGAGAATACCAACAAGTCATCAAAGAAGGTAGATGCCCCATCCCTGCAAACATTCAAGATGGAGAGACAGCTCTTTAAAAGAAGCCTTCAGTCCTGACAGGAAGTAGTTTTGGCAAGACCGGGCAATGAACAATTAAAAAAACCAATAAAACCCAATTTAAAATCCAAAACCCACTCTCCTCTCTTATTTGGCACTTTTGAGACTGCATGCGGACTCCCATGTCCTGTTCTGGTGTCCCCAGGACAGGAAAGACACTGACAAACACAGTGCGGGCCCAGTCCAGCGCCTTCAAGATGGTGAGGGGCCAGGGCACATGGCACACCAGGGCAGGCAGAGGAAACTGCCGCTGTGCAGCTGGGAGAAGAGAAGGTTCAGGGCTGGATCTGACTGCTGATCTTCCAGAACACTGCAAAGCAACTGCTTTCCTGACCCCATACCACATAGAAAACCATCCTGTTTTTCTCCCACATGCACTTCACTATTGCTAGTTTTGGTCTCCAGAACAGCAAAGGCCTTGGGTAAAAAAAAAAAAAAAAAAATAGAGAGAGCTTGATTTCCCCCAGCTTGCATCCCTACTTTCTTTGGTAGGATACAACCCACGGGCTCATCTCTCCTACCTGCTTCCCGAGTCTGCTTGCTCAAACAAGAAGTATGAGAGCATTCAAATGCAAGTGTTGTTTGCCAACATGCAGGGAAGCAGCATTCCACCTCTAGTTCATGAGACAGGTGAGAAAAAAGCTTCATCTCAATGGTAGGAATAAAACATGGAAGTGGAGCTTTGCCATGAAAACTGGTTCTACAAGAAAAAAATACCTCTGGGAGCTCCTGAGCTCCTCTGGGTTTAAGGTCTTTAACACCACAGCCAGCAGGGAGCAAGCCATGCTGTCAACTACTTTTTTACACCTTGGTTTCTAATCAACAGCACTGTTTGCTTTGCTCTCATGTGGAGCCATGGAGTGGACTGGCAGGTATCCAGCACAGGTTACTGGAGCCCAGGGCTTGCACCAAACCAAGGAACACAGGAAACTGACAGTGCTGGTGCACCTCAAGGACTTCATATCCAGTTTGCTCTGTACGTAAGTTAAAACAGTGGGGTGGTTTGGTATGTATGTTTTTTTGGTTTTGGTTTTTTTTTCATCTGCTACATCATCTCTCTCCCTCTTAGAGAAAAAAAAAAGCAAACTATTCCATCACTTACTCATGTATTTTCATGTCCTTCCAGTGCTCTCTTTTTTAACACTTGCCTAGCTGTATTGTGCTCACAGACAGAATATGAAACCCCATTCAGCACCATGGCAACAGGGGCTAGAACGAAATAGCACTCCTTCATTCACAGATGAGTTGCAGCTAAATTACTAACAGACCAAGAAGCAGCAAGGTGGAAAAAGGCAGTTGTGAATGTACACAGGCAGTAGGGCTGCTGCACTTGGGCAGCTGTTTCCATCCAGCAGCCCCTTTTCAGAGCAGAGTAGCCCCAAGTGAAAACTGCCCTTCTTCAAGGGTTTCAGGAGAGAAAGGGGACCCATTTGCTCACCATTATAATGCAATTTGCATTACTCAGCACTGAATTATTCTTACTGACTACAGCCTGCAGTGCATTTTCATTAACTAATGGCCCTAAAAGCAGCAGTGACCAATTTAGGATCTCATGGGAGGGTCTGAGTATGCATCTGTATTAGCTGCAAATTTTACCTAATTCCTATTTACTTCAGACACAATCAGGAGCAACTGACACAACCGGTCAGAATCGGGCAGTCTGGGTCAGGTTTTGAGACAGACAGGGCCCGACTCCTTCCAAATATGTCTTTAGTAAACATTGCAATTCACAGGGGCAGGCTACATTCAGCACAGGAGACTCGGGACATGCATACAGGAGGCACTAGAGCATGTTACTCCTCAGGGAAGAGCATCCAGGTCTGGCTTCAGAACTGAAAGCAACATGACTGTGGCAATCAAGGGACCACAAAAAGGCAGACCGTATGCACAAAAGTTTGTTCCTGAGCGCAAGTCAGTTCAGCCATTGTTGAAACTGGCCTAAAGACATAGCAGGAGCTGTGCTATGCCTTGTTAGCTTGCACCTCTCTGTCCTATGCTCCATCACACAGTACATGCTGGCGGCAGCATTTCTTCGCGTTTCTCGCTGAGCTGCCCAGAAAAAGGCATCATCAACATACAGTGGGAGACACAAGTATTGCCATGAGTCCTGAGCCACCAGCTGAACCCTAACCGCAATGGCTGATCACCACCCTGGAATCTGTCCGCCTTCAATTTCTCTAGTCCATCGTCAAAGATTGTTCTGTTGTTTGTCTTGACAACCACTGCATGAATGTACTGTGTGCTCAGTATTTCTTTAAGACTTCAATCCATTCCTGTCAGTGCTGTCTGGCTTTCTCCTGTACTTACCACTACACACATCTTGAAAAGGAGGTAATAGACTGTCCGTGTCACATCTGCAGCATGCATTAGGTTATGAGAAGGATTTTTGTGTTGGCTGTAGCCAACCTCCAGAGCTTCCACAGTAGACACCAGGGCAGAAATGGGGATCTGAGGAAAACAGCACAGAATTACAAACAAAATAATCACCTTTAGTGGCTAGCATTTGGGGGGGAGCATTTTGACCAGACGCCCCAAAGAGGAGTTCCTACTTCACAAATAATTAACACCTGTGCCTAGAGGTCACAAACCTCTCTCTGCTCCCCTCACAACCCATTGGAATATATCTCTGCTTTACAACTCTCAGTCAAGATTTTCTAAGGAAACAATTCTGACCAGTTACCTTCTTCAAACATATCTCATCAGACACAGGCAGTTCCTGAAATAGTACAGGAGCTAGAGATCTGCAAACCCTTTCCACAGTGGGGACCCCCAGGAAGTGGAAGTGTCAACAGCAGAAGGGACAGCAGAGTATGTGGGTGGGGATAATGGTCAAGATCCGAGCAACGTTTCTGCCACCCAAATTTAATCCTGTTCAAAGCTGGAGGCGAAGATATGCTGCATTTGTGTCTGCAAACCTCTGGAACAACCCAAGCTCTCCTTTTTTGCTTGCACGCTTGAGAGTCCTGTGACTCTCAGGAGAATGACACTATCACTCCCACATGACAGTACTTCCCAGGGAGAAGCCTATTTGGAACCCCACCTACTTTATGGTGCCCTACTGCAATTAAATGCACTACCCAAATAACATTTGGTCCTGCTTACTGCAAAAGGATTATTTTAACATTTTAGTGAAACTACAGCATCCACGAAGCCTTCAAATAGCACTAAAATTGCATTCTGAATGGCACAAAGGAGGATTAGAGGGAAGTTCAACAGAACCCGAGATGGAAGAAGAGACCCATCTTCTATCTACTGAACTTGAAACAGTTGACTGGATCATAGATGGTGAGAAGTTCACAGAAAATGAATTCTAGTGTGTGGTCCCCACTGGGGTCATTCACTGTGACTACAGCTAAGGGCCACTTGTCTACATGCTGCAAGAGTGGAGTGGAAAGACAGTCACTCTAGTGCCCTCGCAGGCTTTACTGCTGCTAGTACCTCAACAAGTTTCTGCGGCCGCAGGAACACGCTCCCTTCACCGAGAACACCTCGGCGTCGACAGTGCGCAGCACATCACCGCGGCTCTGCCGAGCACCAACGCTCGTCCCCAGCCAGCCTTTGCTCCGCACCCAAACCTCGGCCCGGAGCCACCCCCCCGCTCGCTGCCCGTGCCGGAGACCGGGACGCCCCGGCGCCTCTCGCCACCGCGGGCAGGGACCGG